AATTAAACGTAACTTGGCCCTCAATTAGCAATGGATACTGAAACTTGTTTATTCAATTTCAGATGGCATACATTATTATATAGAACACTAGTTTCATTTCATTACTATCATTTTTAAATATGGAGCACCAAAAACTTTAGTGCTTAGGGCCCCGGAGGGGCGTGATCCAGCCTTGCTTGGGCAAAAAATACAGACAACTCAACAGTCCTCTCGGTAGTCGATTGTCTCTGATGGGTTCCCCGTCAGCCATGGACCTTTCCCCGACCTTTAACCCCCGGAAAATTCTTCCTATACTTTACCATTGCAAAATTTCCGAGGCTATTTTAGGAGTGCTTTTGCGAGTTGGCGCTTGTAAAATGGAGTAGGTGTTTTAAACCATCATTATGATTCATCGCATACAACGATTTGTTTTTTAAAAGTACCGGTAAAGAATTTCAGGCTAGTCTATCACAGCTATTTCTAAACTAATTTTTATTACTGCAATTTAATTAAAACTCCTAGGAAGGCAGAGTGATCATTGAATTATCTGATTTATATTTAAGTTTCCGAAACACAACTGAAAACTAACGAATAGAGTTTAAAAACGCGAAAACGAGGTAATGTTTACAACCGCGCTTGAAAATCTGTCTGAGTGAGAAAAGTGTCTGAGCGAATGCGAAAAGGGGGCATTGTTACGTCACTTTTTGCATCTTGCTGATTGGCCAATGTCACAAAGTAAACAAGGAAATCGATGCTCGGGGAAAGGTCCATTCAAAACAAGTTCACAGTTCTGGTGCGTTCACGGCAAGGGATACCGGTAGGCCTGTTTTAGTGTAACTAGCGTGTTGAGACTGGCGCGGACCCGTAGACTCCGAAGGGTTAGGGCGTAGCATCATTTGAGCATAGGCTATTATGAAAAGATTTGAGATTTGGAAATAATATTAGTACTGTATATCGGTTACGGTAATCAAGTTGACATTTGACGCTAAATATCATCGGTTTATCGCTACGGTACCGTATTCGTTTAACTAGGCTTGCGTTTTATATAATTTTTTTTTGTGTGTGCTGGTGCAGTGGTGAGTGGGAGTGTGGCACATGATATTTTTCATGTTTCAAACTTTTTTAAAGGTATTGCTCGTCTTTAAGAATTTTCCATTTATAATTCGTGTGTATTATGGCTGTATGGAGTTTTTAAAGTATAGACTACTACTGTACTAGGTATATTTGTCAGTCTGTATATCGATTTGAGGGGTCTAGTATAGTTTAGTACCACAAGTACTTCGAGGGGGCGTAAGATAATGAATTTTGCATATGTTATTCCTAGCCCCTACCTGACTATGCTATCAAAAAATTACGTCACTACGACGTCACCATCGCATCATAGGGCTTGCCAAAGTAAAAATTAACATCGCCCGAAATGGCATATGCGCCGCCGATAACGAACTCGCTAACGCCGGCGATCTCTCTCCTATCGTGATAGTTGTGGCGAGCTAACGAGAGAAATAGCTTGCTCGATTTCGGGTGATCGTCTGCGCGTTTTGGACAACCATCCGCACACTTTGGTGGGCCTTATTACGCCACTGTGACGTCGAAATGACGTAATTTTTCGGTGACGTAGTTAGGGCAGTAGGGGGGGGGGGGTTAGGATTGACATATGCAAAAATTGTTGAGCCAGGTCAACTAGAAGTATGTGTGGTACTAAACTATACCAGACCCGATTTGAGTACCGGTACCGCTAGGTATGAGAGGGTGTGGTTCACCCTATGATTGAGCCGTGTTATCAGTTCTCCTCTCCCCGGGATAAACATGTAAAAGGTAGCGTAAATCATACCAGCTTACTGTCATATCTGCATATCCTATCCTAAATAGTAATATAACGTTAAACCTGTAAACTGGTTTGGATAGGATGTTGATTTATGACACATTCCTGCATACTGGCATAAATACTAGGCATAAGCCTAGTAGTAATTCTGTAGTTACTGTATTGAGTTAAAAGTTATACTGGGCTTACAGACTTTCGGCCCACATAGTAGGTTTATAGCCATGCAGGCTCAAGTCTGCAAGTGCAGAGATATCTTTGTTTGTCAAGATCCGCGGTGCGATAGATGACGGGTCTTGATCATGGTGATTGAATATTTCGTTAATGAAAATGAAGTACCGGTAGTCTATTTCAGTATTAACTGGTCTATTTATCTTTTAATTTGTTAAAGTATTTACATATTTATTCCTGGCAGCCTGGTGAGATAAAAGGCGATAAGACGGCCTAATCATATTGCGAACCAGGGCCTCTTGTCTGGTTGCCAGTCCATGTAGGGTATGGAATTAGTTATCCAGTTATTTGTTTTCAGATAATAGTGAAGGAAGTCGTAACCGACCAGCGGCTACTAGGTTACTTGAACCACACTACGGCGGCTTGGAGTAGCACATAATTCTGTAATTCTCTTCTAGATGCGAAACTTCTCAGGGTCGTCAGAATAGCGGTGGCAATCGTATTCCTAACACTTAACACCGGGGGCAAACAAATGTTCGAAGTCCAACGCAAACATAACGAAGCGGTTCTTGATTTTTCTGTTTTTTACCAGTACATACAGTGCATTCGGTAATGTTATATTTTACTTATACCAGTATACGCATTGGATGCCAGATAATTTTCTTCACAAATATGTCATATTTTACGGCAATAAAATCTATAATTCAAATATATTCCACCCATTCCTTTGTCCATGCGTTCTTTTCAGAATGAGCTTCTGCGGCATTTAGCGAATGCTAGGTTGTTGCGGTAATATTATAATAATATTTCACTACTTCGCCCATTTTAGTTGAATTATATTTTAGATGTAGATGTATATTGTAATACTTCATACTCCAATCTCGTCTTCTATCGCATCGTTGATGAACATACATTTATAAATTTATAGCTCAGTCGTTACTAAATTTGTATTTTCTTTCATCATACTTTTTTTACAATAGGAGAACATAGATAACGATATTTTTATAAAGCTTTTTTTAAGTGATTCATCTTTTCAAAGAACACCAAACTCGTTGCTACTGACCTATGTCAATAATTGTCAGTGGGACAGAATTGGATCAATTCTCCAAGTACGAAATCATGAATTTTTTCTAGAGACGAGTGGCCTAATCTGACTCGCTTGACTTATGTATTATGGATTTGTCATCATTAGAATCACTATTTTTAAAATTGCTTCGATTCAAAGTTTTGAACTTCAATCCTTACTGGTTATGGTTTGGTTTGAGCTCCCCCATAATACAAAAAATTACTGTACACACAATACGGGAATTCAGCAAGTTGCCAAAACTTCAAATAAGGTTTAAAACTTGAGACATAAACCTGTCAGGCCCTGCAATACCTTGATATGGAATAAACAGATATGCAAAGTACGATATTACAGTACTGTTATGTCAGCTATTTATTTTCCAACTGCTTAAGGTTGATAATATCGGAATTTAATCTCGGTCCACTACTTACTTAAACCCATTTCAGAATGCCCAATTTTTTCCAATTCCAAGCGATCGAAACATCGGACTCTGAGAAAATTGAAATTAAATACTGAAGTTTGAGCAGTCATGTAACATTCATGGTTGGGGAATATTTACTTTTCGCTGTTTAGATAATACATGGATACTTGGCGATGTTTTGTGAGGAATTTTCAACACCTACAACTAAAAATTAGGCAGGTGTCAGATAAATTTTAAATAAATGATAAAACATTTACACTGGGTACAATTACATAATCATGTTAACAAATTGAATGGAACATAAAAATTACAAACTCCTCTGGTTTTGGTATGCGTTTGTGCAGTAATCTTCATATTTAATACTCATTCGCTTTTGTGTATGACCTCACTACCGATCAGTCGATCGCGAGATATTTTGACAATTTTAGAACTTAATATCTAGAACTTGAAATGAATTTCAAAGAATCTTGAAATGTAAGAAGTACAATTATCGAGATACAAATATTTAAAAAAGTTCTGGTCCGGGATGTGTTGTAAAGTTTGTTAAAGAAGAAATAATATATGTGTATTCCTCTATATGTATTTTTCCCACATTTGCTTCAAGAGTTAATAACGATTAACTAATGTTAGGAATTTATCACCTAAAACATGGGATTTATATTTGTCCAGCGAAAAGGTAAATAATAACATAAAGAAGTTGTTGTAGCTAGTCCTTGCACCTCCTTTATTAATGGTTATGTACATATCAGATAAACTTGATGGTTAAAAGGAAAATATTGACTGGTAATGTGAAAATTGAAAATGTTCCCATATTAACACACTATATTATTGTAATTTCTTGGTATTTTGAACAAAGTATGTATTAGAAAATAGACTAGATTATAATATGAAACAGATTTGAAAAATGTTAGTATTCGAATTTTCACTTGTAATTAATGCTTAGTAGGATTTATTTGTTTCAAAGTGCTGTATCCGATCAAGCATGTAAATCTATGTTTCATTTGATAATGTGTTTCTGTTTGAAAATAAATATTCCTCAATGATTTGTTCTATACCAGTGGTACTTTGCCAGCAGTAAATCCCGGATAATTTATTTCTTGGAAAATTCCTCATTGGCATATATATATGATTGAAATGTTTTTGCAAAAAGGCAATTTTTTGTGTATTTAAATGAGGCAGTTAAAGCGTTTTGTAAAGTCGCCTTGTTCTATTTAAAACCAAGATAAATTACTGAAAAGAAATTCAAATAATAGTGTGTGTTGTTAGCTTGATCTATTTTAATAATGGTTTTTAGCTTATAATGTTCAGTCTGTCTGCTATTATGATAAAAAGTTTCCAAGCCCTGATTTAAATAATTATGAAATTGATTATTGGTTTACTTGGCATCGGCTTCCTATCGCCTTGTCATGATCTTCTGATATATTTTTGTCATTTATTTCTATTCTCACTCCATATTTGGAATCTGGTCGTGACTCAGATATGTGTTAGTCAATATCAGTTAGTCTGTTTACTGTTTATTAGATTAATTGAATATTTTTAAAGTTTCAATATGTAAACTTATGTTTAGACTTCTATGCAACTTGTATATTATGATATTTTTGGAATGATATTTGAAATGTGATTCGAAATTGGTATTGGTATCAAGTCTGCCAATATTTTTGGACTGTAAAATTCTCACCATGGATACATCTTCTCTACCTTTGGAAATTCGAGCCAAATTGGCTGAGCTGGATTTGGAACTGTCAGAAGGTATTTGATTTTGCTTCGTTTGACATTAAATTAACCCCAATATGTTTCCTCTCGATTGAATTGCAGGTTAAAAATGCAAGATAAAGTAATTTAGTATTCAGATTTTGACTGTGAAAATATGCACTTGAAACTTCATGCAATGTAGCGAATTACATTTTTATGATGTTTCAGTTGAATTTTTCTCATTCATACGTTCAAATATTGAACATTTGTTTTAGATAGTGTTAATTGTAATTTTCAGTAAAATTTGGAATAAAATGCCTTCAGTTTGAACAATAGGCTATTAATAAAATACCACATTAGAGTGACAATTTCTACCTTGATTCAAGCAACTTTAATCATCTTAGTTTTTCAGACATTGTATAAGTTCACTGTAACCGGCACTCATTTATTAGCGTAGCTTTAAAAATCTTTTCTTCTGCCCAAAATAATCAATATGTTACATGACCTCAGATTTCGCATTGCTGTAAATGCCATGAAAAATTGTGTCTGATTTTCATGCACAAGCACAGCTTGACCTAGTTTTTGATACTTTGCCAGAAGTATTATAATCATATAAACTGTATATAATGGAATAGCTTGATTTTTGATTTTAGATGATTATTTCATTTTTGTCATGGAGAATATGTTTGAAAAGCTTCCCTTGCAGTTTAAGTGTTATTTCTATGCTTTTTAATAAGTGTTGATTTCTTTGTATTAAAGACAAGGTACACCAAAATTAACATGCTTTTGAACTCTTAAAATCTGTTAATACAATCATCAATTTCAATTTTATTGGATTATTTTATTGAAAATATTTCTTTCTATTACAATAAATTGTGCATATTACACGTTACTAAAACGATCATCATAGATAACCTGTGGCATATTACTGAATAAAATATGAAATACCAATATTTACAAACAAATCTGCGAAATAGGTTGTGTGAACATCTTTATCAAATATCACTTAAAATTGTATGTTGAGCAATATTTGATTATTTAACATGAGAAAATAATTTGAGGACCATATCAGTAGTGTGAAGTAATTAGAATATATATGCACAGCCTGCTGTTTTTTGAAAAAATATATGAAACATTAATCTTTTTAAAAAGCTTTTAATAATTGACCATGTCAATGCTCATTTATTTTTGATAATCCAGATATTCATATATTTGTAAATAATTCTGATTAACTTTAAAATAATCCATTCAGATAAAAAAAAATTGCAATATTTGACTTCATTTATCTAATTTGTAAAATAATTTTATTTACACATATAAGAGGGATTTGATTTTAATTATTTGTAATGAAAACAAAAATGTCAATTGTATTTTTTAGTTGATTGCTCAATTTAATTAAATTTCTTTAGGCTTTCTGATGTAATAACTGATCTAATATAAATTCTATATGTAAGGTCTCAGTTTCCATCAATAGCAAAATGTCATGGAATTTAAACTGCTACTTGAGGAGATGTCTTTTGTTCCCGAGCTAAACTCGTTGTCAACCTGATAACCTCTAATCAATCATTCTTTCTATTGATTGGAATGATTAGTGATTTTAAAGCTCCTCAAAGTGAATAATCAATTTTCTCAATTTCACAAATACCATTGCTGATTCAAGTGTGCAGTAATAATGATATTTTATTGCCGTAAAGTGTTTTTGTCTATGTTCAGTTTTACAAAGCAAAATTTTCAACTTAATGTCTAAATATAATTTTCTTTACAGGTGACATCACACAAAAAGGTTATGAAAAGAAGAAAGCAAGACTACTGGAGCCATTTGCTGCTTCTATGCAACGTAAGAAGAAACACAAACTTATATATTATATTTGTTTTGAACTATTTTTGTATCTTGTATAATATTTAAGTTTGTATTGAATAACAAAGCTACATGTACATGTTAACATAAAAATATCCAAAAAGGGGAAATAAGGGTAAATTACGAAATAGGAAAAAATTCAAGAAATTGTTGCTACAAAATTGCTCCTTCGTCACTGATTTGTTAACTTAACCTCGTAACTGGATACCGCAGTTATTGGATGAATTTGATATAGCTCTAGACTAGTATAACGTACTGTCTGTACTGTCATAATGAACGATTATGGCATTGCCTAGCCAATTTCTATGAAAAAACTTCTATAACAGTCATACCTATTATTTTAGCGTGGTATATAAATATAACCCTGACATGTGTTCTTATTAATTCGACTATTACTTGAAAAGATAAAAGGTGAATTATTAATTGACATTTTAAAACAGGTTTTCAACTATTGCATTTACACACTGATAGAGCCATAGCTGTTACTGCTGTGCTGGGCACTATGACTTTCCAAATTTGACAAAATTAATTCATTGTGATTAGAAATAGTCAAAACAAAAATCTTTTTCTTATTTTATTGTCATGTATCATAAGTTGTTTGTGTGCATTGATCTCAATAATTTTTAATGTGCATAAAATGTATTGATCATCTCTGTGGACATTTCCTGTTTCGGTTTGGAACACTCCAAGCAACTTGGTTTGGACTTCAGCTGATTCACACATTATATACATTGCTCTGTATAGAATAAATTCTTTTATCTTTTCATATTTAAAGGCAACCTCTTATGAACAGTTTTAAGTTAACACTGGTTTCATCATCGATAAAAAAACATTCAAGTAGTAATAACCCCTATGCCAGTCTTTCTATATTATTATGTCATTGTTGACAAGACAATCAGCCACAGCCACAATTAATTACAGTAGTATTTTTTATTGTAAGGGTTGAATCTTTTTAGTCGCTGTGACCTTTCCATATCAAAGGCTTTTTACTAAGTCTTTGTTTGACTGCCCAATGCCGAAAGCTTTGATAATTACCTAGCACCATATGCTATCTTCATTGATATAGTGATTGTAAAATATAAGGGGAAGTCCTGTTGCACTGTTCAGTACATTTGTTAACAAGAAAATTGCTGTCTAAAGTATTGTCCTTAGTGTATTTCACATAAACTAAAGATAAATGTGAACAATAAAACTTACAATTCGATGAACACCCAAATTTTACACAATCAAAATTACATTTTCCAAATTTGATTGTTCACTGAAAAGTCATTTATTGCATCACTAAAAAAGCCCTCATAAAATATTCAGCTATCATGCAGACAATTGTGAAAACATCACCCAACGTAACATTTGCGCCATGAATAATTTAACCCAGACATAGACTTTGCATACTTTATCAGTAAGTAGAAAATATTAGAAGTATAAATACTAAACGCATACGTTTGACATTGAATTCTCATGTGTATCAATACACTTGAGAATTTCACATCAATTGTATGGACGTAGTATGATCGACCTTCAAATGATTTGGACTGACACCAATGTACCTTTTGGCATATATTTCGTACTCAATTTAATGTGCTAAATTTCCCTTGTGACCACGGCTAACACTATCTGAGCTGTTGTAAAGTATACCCATTTTGTTGATCATTCATGTTTTTTCTTTCTCTTTCATCATTCACAGCTGACTTGCTGTGAGGTTATTTATGGCGAGGGAACCTTACATCGCATATTAGCTGCTTTTGATTATTAAGAGCTAGTTTGTAAAAATGAAAACCTGTATTCAGTAATTGCCTTTGGCAGATATTATGTAAACATGTTCAGAGTGCTTTGTCTGCTTCTAATAATTCCCAAATTTGTTTATATATATACATAATACTGTCATAATTACTTGTTTCGAAAAATGTATATCTATTTGGTTTCCATAATTCGAGAAATATACACTGTAATCTGTAAACTCTTAATCTAACATAACCAACAGCTGTATTTTGTTTTTAGTACTTTTTAGTTGTTTTTGTCTGTTTTTATGAGTCTTTTATGAATTTAGGATTTCTCTTGCAAATTACCTATTTATATTCAAAAAATGAACATGCGAAATGATTGCATTATGATGCAATTCTATTTGCCTTATGTTGATAAATTTGATATAAATAACACTTTTAGAAGTAGCACATTCCGTGACACATCTCAGATTTTGGTTTCAGAAATTCTGTAAATTAACTATATATTTACTGTTAATTGAAATGTTTTATTCTCTGATAACATGGCTGATAACTTCTCATAGTAACAGTATATTATATTTTTTGATATTCCATATATATATTTTTTTAGCTGTGCGAGTGATGCCTGCTGAAGGTATACCTGCTAAAGTAGAAGATAAAAAATCTAAGCATCAGTATGAGAAGGCTCAAAAGAAAAAAGCTAAAAGAAATTTGAAATCTTCTAAACAATCTCGAAGAGATGACAGATATAGATCTGGTATGCTTTTTTGACATTTTTTTATATTTACTTCTCTGAGGATATGTAGTGTCAGTACGTGATATATTGTATTTGTTTTTGTGAATGACCATTAAAACACAAAATTAGTTTTAGTAAGGAACAAACCTACTTTTTCATCAATATAATAGGATGAAGTGGTTTTAAGTCCTTTTGTGCCCTTCACGTCCTCAAGGTATGGTTATTGGTTTTAGGTGTGTACAGTGTATTATAAAGTATGATTTCATTTGTTTGAGTATCATTGATTCAATGACTAAATTAACCGTAACTACTCAAACACGTTTTTATTTATTCTTAAATAATAAAATTTGACAATGGATAAGTTGAATATTTCGTTATTGCTTTGAATTGTAACCTATAGTCAGACTCATGGGGAGGGAATTTTTCCCACTGATAGACTACTTGAGTGCTAAAAAACAGCAAATAATGAGAATATATTTTATTTTAATTATTACTAGAGAAAAAACTATTTAGCATTTTTAAGATTGTATCATTTGTGATGTGAACTGTGAAATTGTTTCTGCTGAATTGCGCAATCTCGGATAATATGTTCAATTCTTGTCTAATAAACATTTTAGATAGATATTCAAAATTATCACTCGTTTCAACTTTAAAAATACGGATTGCATTTCCTGGTTTGCTGCATTGGAAAAATACCACGATGCAACAAAATTTTTAACAAATTTTTCTATTCAGATGCTCACACTGAAGCTGTTCAGCAAGCGTTAGCAAAACACAATAAATCGAAACGAGTTCCAGTACTTCCTCTTGGATTGAAACGTCGATCACTCATTGCTCATAATGTGTATTTAGCAAGTGATGAAAGTTCAGGTATTAAGTTTAGTTTAACAAGTTTTTTATTCGTTGTTCCATGTGTATATTTTGCTCTGTGTCGAAGAATTACATAAATCTTTATCATAACCGCTTATTGAATCACTTGACCAAATCTACAAGATTTCTGATGATCCATTGCTGAAACCTAGTAAATATTTCACACTACAGTATTGTGGCTGTATTGGACATTCTAGATCTGACTTATCCTCGAAAATGCAAGTTATTTAATCTAAATTCTTGTATATGTGTCATTACCCTCTGGCCAAAATCTTGACTAATATTTCATATCATTATTGTTTGTTTGTGGGTGAGCAAATATTTTTGTTTGATATTTTAGAATTACTCTTTAACTGGATAATTTCCTATTTGGTTCACTTTAAAAGAGCCATTTCATTGGAGTTGATAAAGAATAGAGTAAGAAATATTGTTAATACAATTCGAAATTTTATAGCTTTTTATAGAGATTGCATAAATGCCTTTTCTCCTCAATTTTTTTTGTCAAGTTCATACATCTTGATAATATTAAGTTACAAATTATCTAAGATGTCAGCTTTTATTAACTAAATTGATATATTAGTTCGATCAGGACTGCTTACTTATATATGAAACAACATTTTGTGCGACATATTTCGGGTAAGAATACTTCATGACAATGCAAAAATATAATTCGACTTCTTTTCAGTTCCTGGAGAAATTTTTCTCTGACAGCATTTTCAATTCTCATAGAATGGAATTTCAAAACAAAAAGAATATTCAGGAATTCATGACATTAGAATAAATGAATTTTTTACCTTAAAATTCTTGAGATCTTCTATTAAAAATTTATCGTTTTTGCTATGAAATCATTCAGCGTAATTCAAAGAAATAACTGTAGAATTGAAAAACAGACAACAAAAACTTTTTATTGTTATATTGCTGTACTTTGATCCTCATTAGCATATGGTTTTTGTTCTCAAACATGGTATTGGTTTTTGTCTCAAACATGGCTTATTCAGTATATATTTAATCTCTCAGACTTCAAAACATGTTTAGACTTTGTTTTCTCATAATCATAGTTACCTATTTTGTTTTTTACAGTCAGTGACAATAAGAAACCTATTTGTTTATATGCTTCGCTTTTTTATATAATTACTAGAATTTGTTTAAGTTGATATGTGAAAAAAACACAGGAATATTCAAAACTAAAATAATAAGCCTATTTTTTTTTTAACAATTTTTATTATATTTGTAGATGAGGATGCATCAACAGATGCTTCTGGAGGTGGTGAGTTTGATTTATCACTCAAAAGGAAGACTGATGATTCTTCATCAGATAGAAGTAGTCATAGCGCTAATCCTTCTCCACTTCCTACACATCGATTTGATCCTTCAGCAATTAAGTTGAAAAGTCCATCGGAAAGATCGAGACAGGTGCTATATACCGCGTTTTTTTTTAAATTTCATTATTAGCCTATATATTTGTTTTAGTAGATTTGTAACTCAGCTTTCTCAAGCTGAGAAAAATATCATTGAAAATTGTTCTTCAAAGTTAGTGACGTCGTTCTCTTCAGTAAGAATAAAGTAAGATGGATATTATATTGACTTGACTTTATGACATTGAATTATTGGAGTAGTGCGTTTTTTGATAATGCTCGGAATGTTTTATCTTTCATTCGATATTTGATGTTTATTTATAAGATGACCATGAACGGAAGAATGATTGAATATTTTGCAGGCAGCAATGCATTTTTGTACCAAAATGGTATAATTTTATTTCACATAACACAAACTTTACTACAAAATAAGACAATCTGATATTTTTTGTTTCTGTAAAAAATTTTATAAAAAGGATCGTTTAATTCAGTTTGAAAGTAGGTTACTTGAGAGTTACTGAATGTTGAACAATTCCGTATAATTGAATTTATTCTTTAAGATTGTTCAAAGAAATTCATCATCATTGTCGACTTCTTCCAATGAAGATTTATCATCGATAAGTAACAAAATACGTCTTGCACAAAGAAATTCTTCATCTGCCTCGGATAATCAACCACAACCGTTGGCAAGAGTTCTTCAACAATCTGTATCGTGGGAGGCGCAAAGATCAGGTGGACCTCCTACACCATTGAGTAAAAAAATTGCTGATATCATGCCCCAGATATTGCCAGGTAATATTTAGGAATGGTAATCTGGGAAGATTTTTCTATGCCAATCTGTAAAAATTAATAACATCTAATGATTTTGGATTGTTACATGCTCCGGAATAAAAATTGTCAATAATGGAATATTTTAGTATTTTAGAATTCTACTTGTAAACAGTTATTTATTTTCAAAGATTTCAACTGCCCTGCTTTGCCTCATAAATATGAGATATACCATAATTTTAAGTGATAAATTCTGCAAAACACTAATATTTTAGGCCTGAATTTGTTAAAAAAATGAAGTATTTTTCAATATAGCATTGTTTTCAAATTTTCTTTTAATAAAATCCCTAGCCCGAATTTGAGATTACTTTTGACTGACTTTTCAATTCGTTTTTGTTCTAAAAATATGCTCGTCCTGGATATTACAGGAAGTCGACCAACATCACAGAGTCTCCCTCCTGATGTTGCAAATATCACATCATCTGGTGGATTTCCGCCACCGCCTTGTGAGGAAGAATTACTTGCTGCTACAAAATCTAGTCCAATTGTGATAAAACCTTCTCCTTCCATTGGAAGACGATCAGATACAACCAGTTACGGCAGAACATCAATATCAAGTGTAGAGGACGATGAAGGTGACTGTATTTCCATTGTATTTAAATGTAACTACCTACCTTTAGCCAATACTTTGAAATAGGACACTGTACTCATGTGAGTTACTTTTCTAGATGCTCCTGCGGTTACTAAAGTTTCAGCAAAAATTCAACAGCTTCTGAATACATTAAAGGTAAGGTTTTTATATTATTTTTAGTTTATTTAATGTACCGGTTTATTATTATTAATTAATATGGTCTAATGTTTCATATTAACCCGAGCACTAGAGTAGCGAAAATGTTCTAGTGAATCATGTTATGTAGACTTATTATTTCTGGATCTCTTCGGTTAAATAAAACTGCTTTATGAGTCGAATTTAGATGTTGTCGGTTTTTGATATGGTTTACTCCAGTCCAGCATGATTCAATAAAGTATCGTGAAATCAGAGTTAACTCAGTCTTTTCATTTGTTGAATGTCTGTGTTTGAAAAATTTTGCAACAGCTTTTATGTATACGAATTGTGCATGTAAGAGCAATGATTCAAAAAGCCTGATTCATCTAATAATATGATTGACAATTGTGATTTAGGGATTTATACTTACTTTAGAATATGATGCACTGTAATTTTTGTCCGGATGACATATTTTGGTTGTGAATCGTTTCGAATACAAACCTATGATGAATTTTTCGTTTCAAGCAAATTCTCCTTTGAATATATTATCTGTGATATTTAACGTGTTTTACGTCCATAGCTAGACGAATTCACAAAAGATTGAGATTTTAGATTCCAACAATGTTCAGTCTCAAATTTGATTGGTTTGCTTCAAACTGATTGTTTTATTTATGATTAAGATCAACAAATATTATACCGGTAACGAATTGACTTTATTCCTTTTAACGAATTTCCTGCTTTTTAAGAGACATGACTGATATTGCATAATATTCGGATTTAATACTGTGAAAAAATGCTATTAATTTTTTATATTTTGCTTTTTCTTGAGCGTGATAAAATCGTTCGATCATGTGAAATCTAAATAATTATATAATAATTATATCCAGTTGAATAGTGTTGGTTGGTTCGAAAGCCAATGAATACCTCTTATTTAGATGACAAATTAAAAAAATGATATTGAATGTTTGTTTGTAAATAAATCTATTTATTAGGAAACAGAAGAAGAACATGAATTGGAACGACAATCCGTAACACATGTTAACAAATTAGCAATGAAACTTCAGGTTTATTGATTGAAATTCAATCTTTGGCAATGCATTCTTGCAATTTTTTTTTTTCATAAAAAAACATGCAATTTTTTTTCTTAAAAGTCATATTTCTCCTCTGCATTATTTAATTTGGAGCTCTGGAAGTATGTGCACCAAGATGGCGCACAACCTGACAGGTTGTGCCCCATCTTGGTGTACATACTTGGGGAGCTCCTTTAATTTGAGCATGATTTTTTTTGAGTTGAAGGCGCACACATGCAATAGAAATAATTTTGATTCAGTTTCTTTGCCGCTGAGGCTTCTACAAGCTATATCTGCTAGTTTGTTTTATAAACTAGCATATTACTATGAATATGGAACATCTTGTCGTTTCTAATGATGAAAAGTTTAAAATTTGAATATTGTTTTAAATAGCTGTTATAATTTGAATAATCTAAAAAATAAGATAAATTTTTTTATTCGTTTGAAGTTGATAAAATATTAGTTCATCATTTCGTTCAACTAATTATCCAAAGATGGAAATTTGCCAATAGAAAGCAAGAATGTGTTTCTCACTTGCCTTGTTTCGAAAGTAGTTTCAAAATACATCAAATCTCTAATTCTCACTTCTTTTGGAATGATTCTTCTATTATTTTTCTTTCAAATTTCAACTATATGTTTGTTTAGTTTACATTTGGCATCTCCTAATATATTCATATCACATTGTAATGGTTTATACATAGTTTGTTGGAATATACATAAAATGAATCGCCACAGGCGGTAATTGTCAAACCTTTATGCTTTGTAAGCTTACAAATGACTTGTTATTGCTGTCATTTGAGATCATTTTGATTTTTATCACATCTGATAAAATGCATACGTTTGTAAATACATCGGTGCAACTTGTCACATTTTCTTTTCTTCATTCTGCAATACATTTGTCACAGTGGTGTGTGACTGACTTCTATTTAGCAAATGCTTAGGCCTTTGTTATTTATAACTATGAATGATTATACAGAGATTGGATTAGTCCTTTCCCCACTCTCTCTTTGTTTTAAATACTTGAAACCTGATTCAGCATGTTTGCAAGTATCTTGACATATTTTCACTTTTTCTAGTATGTTAAGTACACGGTACCTATCTGTTGAAGTGCCTAATCTGAAGTATTATTAAAGTTATAATAATAGGATTATAATTTGAAATTGGGTCGCAACACTATTCCTTCCATCACAATTTAAACTAATCAAGGATGTCTGTATTGAGACATGAGTTTTGAAACTTTATATTAAATGAATAGTCATCTGCGAATATTCAAATTCTATAATGTAATGTTTGTAATGTGAAATCTGGAAAGTCAAATACACAAAAACTGGTTAAAATGTTGAATAAGCCAAAAAAAAAACTTTTTTAGTTCTGGTACACAGAGTATGTTGAAATTTCAAAGCCCAAATTGCTACCTAAATTTAGTTGTTGAAAAGAAATATTGCACTGATGCACTTAGGCTTTTTTCTTTCTACAAATTATGCTTTTCTTCAATTGTCTCCATCTTGCTGAAATTGTGAAATCAATGGATTGATGGACAATTCTTTACTCATATTGTACTCTTCGACTTCCCTCTCTGTTAAAATATAGTATTACCCAAACATTATTTTTCAACTAGTATATATTTTGGAATAATATTGTTATATATCATGTTTCTTAACTAGAGTGCATCAAGATTCATCTAAAATCGAACCGACTGTTAATGGATTAGGAAATTCTGCTGTAGATCTATTCATGTTGGCCAGCATGCATTTTTTTATGTAGCTTAGTAATGATAGATACCACTTTAATTTTATATGACATATATCAGATATCAATTATTCAACTGATAGAATAGTTAATGATGATCTTCGAAATATTTTGAAGCCGATGCTAAATGTATTTTAAATTATTAATTTTGCTTTGCAGCGACCAAAAAAGAAGCCACTAATTGAATATTTTCAAGATGATCAGGTAATTTCTGCAGACTATACTAACACTAGGGTTAATAAAAGCTCATATTATACGTTATAAGATAAATTAGTCATTTTCACTTATTCCAATTTTAAATATGTTAGAATTCTTCATGATATTATGAAATAATGCTTCACTCCAAACTTTCGACTTTCGAAGTGACGTAAATTTGACCTTGAATGCGTTAAGCTCAAGTTTTTCTCACGGATAGGGAAAACTTATTCAGAATTCATCAATATTGAATTTGCCTTGATTTAAATAATTTCATTATCACTGGCTTTATTGTTACATTCAGAAAGTCAGTCATGAATAATTTGATTAAATCCTAGTTGAGTTGGATATTCAAGCTATATTTTTATGTACTTATGCAGGAAGAATTAGAACCTCCACCTTTTGATGAGAATGCCCCTAGGCCAGGAGGTCCAATAAGTAAACCTACAAAGGGTGAACCAGCTACTGAGCATTCTAATTTACCACACTCTTTAGAGGCTGCTATACACAGGTATGTTTTTAAGACACAAGGTGGAATGAAGTCTTATAAAACAGAACATGTATTGATATAAAATCTTGTGAAAGGCTATTTAAATTTCAAATTGAGTATATCAAGATAATGTCAGTTTTGTCTATAGATTGCTGGATAGTTTATCAAGTCTATTACTTCCGTTGTATATTTTTTGAATATTCAATGTTTACTCATACATACATGCCCATATATAGGATTGTCTTCAGGCCTCACCAACCACATATTTCGCAATGATGCTCTTTTGACAATTTCAATTCATGATCATTCGCCCATCTTGTCTGTTGATAATGGTTTGGATTTTGAACTTTGAATGTATGCGTAGAGCGTATTATTATCTCATACATGTTCGTTGTTAAATTTTATTCGCTGTGAAATATCACTGAGTTTTATTCACTTTACATTTCACAGATGTGGTACAGCTAATCCTAAGGCTCCTTGTTTAACATCTGTCAATGGCAATGGAAAGAGTGCAAATACTTTGACATATGGTCAGTAAGGACTTGACAGAATTTTATTATTTTTGCTTATTTAATATATTTTGTGTTGTAGGAGTTAGCTTATTTCAACTTTATTATCATTTATTACAGACCTTTGGAGTTTTTTTTCTTATTTTTTTCATTTTATCAACTTCAATATTCTAATTTGTAGTTTTGGGTTTTATTTTCAGGAAAATTACTATCGAGAATGCGCAAGATTGCGTACACTTTAACACACAAGCGTGGAGTTGCTCCTGGAAGTAGAATAGCTCTTGTGTTCCCGAATAGTGATCCTATATCTTATGTATGTACATTCTATGGATGTATGCTTGCTGGAATTGTGCCTGTTACTGTCGAAGTTCCTATGTCATCAAAGGTAAAATATTTCTTGTTGTGGATGGTCATCAATAATACATTATTATAATTTATAAATATATTTATTTGAATTTATAAATATTTCTTTAAGTTGGGTTTTTATGCTAGTGGATCTGTATGTGTATAATGCAAGGATGCTGTAGCTAGAATAAACATGACTATTCTATACAATTGAAGACTTTTGTTTTTCTTTAGGATGCTGGTAGCTCCCAACTTGGATTCTTACTCGGTAATTGTGGTGTTCAAGTTGCCCTCACATGCGATGCTTGTGTGAAGGGATTGCCTAAAAATGAGAAAGGTGAAATAATTCAATTAAAAGGTGAGTTAGATAGTTTTTTGTGTTGTTGTATGAAGAATTGCATTTGAAATGCAACTGAAAAAGCATGTTTATTGAAATCTAATAATTTAAGTTTTATATGCTACAGAATTTTGCTCAATTGACTATTTTGCAGAAATGATTTTTGCAATGCCGAATTATCTGTCGTGACGTTCTCTTAGTCATCGTTAATAAATTACACAAATTTTGTATTGAATGGGACAATTTGCACATTAGTTAGTGATTTTTTTTATTACATGATTAACAATTCGAGCCATTCAACTGTGTTAAAACCAACTTTTCTAAATTTTACAGCCTTGACATGGCCGGTGACCATTCACTTGATACAGTGGGTTTTATCTTTTGTGAAATATATTCTGATACTTGACATGACGTCATTCTGATTTTCTCAGGTTGGCCCAAGCTCCAGTGGATATTGACGGATTCCAAGCATTTACCTAAAGTTCCGAGTAATTGGGAACCTACTGCACGAAGTCCAGATAATCAACTTGCTTATATTGAATATAAAACTGGAAAAAATAATAGTGTTGTTGGTGTAACACATTCAAGATCTCTTATACACAATCATTGCAAGTAAGTTGAAAAATAATGGCTTGCTTCAACATTCACTAAAACTTCGGTATGTCTAATAATAAACACTCATCATATATTTGCAACTAAACTGTAGCTTCAAAATTGCATGACTTTCATCGGTCCAAGGAATTCTTCCAGGTTGACAGAAATCATTGATACTTTAATGCTTGGTTTGTTTATTAAGAAAAATAACTTATACTTTATGTTCCAGATCTTTGGTTAGTACGCTGTGCTATAATCCTGGTGATGTGATGATAAACCTTTTAGATTTTAAACGTGGTGTCGGATTGGTTCATGGATTACTTGCGGTGAGTTTAGTATATCAATTTCAAATAACCGGTTTAAACTAATTGTAGGTGGAAAATACAGTATAGTTTGCCTTTGTAGTAATAATATTGGATTGAATTCTTGATTCCTTGAAAATTCCGCACAGTATCCAAGTTTGAAATTTTATAGATGGGACTGTAAAATAAAATTTTTATTTGTTATCTTTCGTGATTTCTTGTGTTGCATTTAATTTTCAACTTTATTTTTATTAAAATGATTTACTGTCAGTGATTCTGAAATTATACTATACTTCATTTACAGAGTATATTCACTGGAATGCATGTATTTTGCATCCCGTATGCACTTATGAAACATGATCCAATGCAGTGGCTCAGCATACTCACTAAAAATAAAGGTATGTGGCCATTCTGTTACTTTTTACAATACATTACAATCATATAAGTGTAGATATATGGTTGGCCAGTTCTATCAAATCTTGTTTTTCAAATGTGTTTGTATATAAACCATTGAGGCCTTCTGTTGGAATTATCTAAGTTTGCGGTTAAATATTAATCTTCTAACATTAGACAGTTATTTACTGATGTTGAAATATTTTATGATGCTTTATTTACAGCTTCTTTGGCTCTGGTCAAATCTCGTGATTTACACTGGACATTAGCGATGCACCGAGAAAATGCTCATATTGATTTAAAAACTTTGCGAATGTTACTTGTGTCTGATGCTGCCAATCCATGTAATTATTTCAGTTTTTAATTGAATGTGTAACTTTGTGTTTTCAGTCTCTGGTCTGTATCTTGCAAGAGAAAATTTATATTTGTATACTAGATAGGCCTATAGTTTACACAATGAAAAATCATCCATCATAATTTTTGTTTAAAATCCTCTTAAAGATTTTTGGTTTAAAATCCTCTATAACATTTGATATAATGCAATAAACTGATTCAATAATTTTATTTATACTCAAATGGCAAGTAAAAATTCGAAAGGTTCTTCCTATATCTGGTTTTTGCATCATATCGGCTATCTACTTTATTACATTCCTGAGTTAGGGGTATGCATGGGATTCGAACCCAAGATTTAAACCTGCGATGTGATCATACCAATATTTATCGTTATTGACTTTTTGAGCAGTTTAATAAATGAACCAATTGACTGTGAATAACTGCCGTAAATATTTACAAATTTGTCTGAAATAATGATCTTTAAATTTTCACAATTTTTTTTTAATGATATTACTATATATTTAGGGTATCCAAAATTCTCTATAGAAAATGAAAGCTTGATATCTTATTAAGTTTTTGCCATATCATCTGTGAATCTCATTTTTGATATTACTCGAATATATTTATTGTAACAAACATTGAAAAAATGGTTGCAATATCATTAATAAATCATACTTAAACATAATTATTATGTCCAGGGTCTCTTGGATCTAGTGATGTATTTCTTCAAGAATTTGAAAGAAAGGGTTTAAGAAGAGATGCAGTTTGTCCATGTGCTTGGTCAACAGAAGCTCTTACTGTTGCAGTGCGACGTCCTGGCACTGAAGCTATTGCAACAACTATTTCACTTCATTCTCTTTCATTTGGGGTAATTCAAACTGAAGTCAACAATCAAGCAACATCCCTTATGATTCAAGATGTCGGAAGTGTTTTTCCTGGAGGTAAAAATAAACAATCAATTATGCATTGATAACAGCTTGACTAATTATTAGTATCTTACATGTTATACTGTCTTGTATTTATGTCTTGGTATAAATTGACAATGTCTAGCTTGTGATAATATACTTGCCAATTCCCAGCTTTGGGAAACAACTATGATTTTATTCACTATTGTATAAACACATTAGCTCTTCAGATTTATCGTTTTATAACAGAGGGGACAGGGGTGGAGCGGATTCGGCCCACTTGTGCCTTTTGAAATTACCACAATTTCCAATGAAAATATCGACTCGATGGCAAAAATAAATACTGTGCCGTAACACATGTTTTTTCCATCTGTCCGGTACATCGATGTCAGTACTTGAATCAATTAGGCTATTCTGTCTATACTCACGTCATCTTCAAATATTATTTACTACATCTTCCGCAGAAAATACCTATTGCTTTACATCAGTGAAACATGTAGGCAGGCAATTATTATCGGAGCCAGTTATTTGCAAATAAATTGTGTTTTATTCAGAGTTTCATATTGAGTTTTGAAACTCTGGACCAGTATCCAGGTCTATTATCTGTAAGTGGCCCACGTAGGAAATTGCACACTTCTGTTTTAAAACATCATAATATTAATTATTCAAATAGGATATTGATATATCATTTTGCATGTCAAAATAAAGCTACGCTCATTGGAATGAAATTTTGTTTCAGCTACAATAGCCGTTGTCCGAACGGATGATTCCATTGAGTTTTGTCATAGTGATGAAGTTGGAGAATTGCTACTTTGCCCGAAAAAGGGTGGATACAAAGATAGCTTATATTTTGGTCTTGCTGGAATTTCGGAGAAAGTTTTTCGTGCCCATCCAAAGAATGAACGTTTGCCATACATTAGAACAGGACTTTTGGGATATGTAGGGCCGGTAAGTCTTTATGTTATGGTTTGTTCAAGTTTTTCATAAGCTTTTTTTTGCTGGTTATGAATTTGGATTAGCTCATATCCAACAAGCCACTCACTGCATTCTATTTATCCTACAGAAGAATTTTGTTGAAGTTTTTACGCAAATGATATGATGTCTAGCTGTTTCGTATTCACTGTAATTGACTTCACCCTCATTGGGTGTTCACTGTTCAGTCAATCTAGTTTAGATGAGAAATTAAATGCAAAATTGATAATTGTTATCACATATGCTCATATACATGAGGCGAAGTTATAATTTTGTATTCGTTTTTATAAAAACCATTTGTTTTCAGAGTGGCCGTGTTTTTGTTACTGGCAAAATTGATGGATTATTACGCATCAGTGGGCACATGCATAATGCAGATGACATTGTCGCTACAGTATTGGCTGTTGAGCCTGTTCGATTTGTATACAGAGGAAGGTAAATCATTGTCATTTGATGTAACTTCAAGTAAAATTTAAAAAATTTTAACCTATCAAGTATCATCTCGATTGTTCTGCACTATCATTGATATACCTCTTATCCTTTCAGTGGTTCACTCGATGAGCTTTCATAATCATGTGAGGGAATAATTAGAAGTTGAATTATCCATAACAGTCATCTATGATCTATTTCTCACTCACCGATATTGGTCAACAATTCTATGAATATTATATTAACTTAACCTACTTTTTTGTATCCATTTTCACCAGTCAATAAGCAGCTAAAAATTCTTTCATCGTATAATTATTTTATTTAAATTCTATATAGGATCGCTGTCTTTAGTATCAACGTTTTGAAGGACGAGAGACTGGTTATTATTGTTGAGCAGAAACCAGATGTTACAGAAGAAGAATGTTTTAAATGGATGAGCAGTGTAATACAGGTACATCCATGTTGTGTTGTGTGTACTCCATGTAAGATTCAAGCAATTAACTGGCAATGTCATTGGTATCTGGTTATTGTGATGAAGCCTCTGTTTGCCACTGTTATCTGTTCAGTGTTTGTTTCATTTAGCATAGACAGCCCTGTGATATATTTCTTCTTTTCACCACCGAATGTTTTACTGAAATTTGAAAAAAACGGAACTATAAGAACTTGTAATGCTACTTTAGTATGAGGTTTTAGTAGTTGTGTGATCTCACTGATTTTAGTTAGGGTTATGAACTGAATTCTATCATAATGTATCTATGCGATCCAGATTATGTTAGACAAGTAAGTTTGCATTCCAAATTGGTCCCAAACTGGTTTTCACTAATATTATGATTTTTCAGTTGCTCAAATTTATATGAAAAATATTTATATAAAAATTTTATTAATGTGCGTTTAAAGTAAAACACCACTTGTATCGGAATAGACACGATATATAACAGCAAGCATTATGGATGCTCGCTCATACAATTTTGACAAATGAACAAACCTACTGTATGAAATTTTCTTGTATGCTCATTCTTAGTTTTGTAGTTCCAGTCTGCAATCAATGAATATTGATTACACTTAAGTGGCAACTATAAAATTTTGTTTTATTGCCTTGAAAAAAATAAATTATCAATCTGATGATGATTATGCGCATAGTAGTAATTTAATTATCTCTCCAGACTGCTTGTGTCGGAAGGAGCAGCTGTTTTATGATCTGTATAAGCAGGGCTGTGCAATAAACAAAATTACAACCAGACTTTATATTAATTTGGAACCACAACCACTTATATTAATTTGGAAAACATAATTTACTATTTTTGTTGACTATGAAAATATAGTGTTGCCATGATTTCTTTGTTGAAGCCCTGCAAAATTGATGTGTGTATATATATATATATATAATTTACTGTGATATGAGGTCTCAAATTCCAACTTCTCAATGTGCAATTTGGTGAAAAAACAAACTCGTCGGATCTGCCATGTATCAATCAAAATGCGATATAATTTAATATCAAAACTGATCAATTAGGAATTTTGCCATGCCTAGCAATTTGTTCATATTGAATAATTCACTTTTAACATTCTTTGTATTTTGATTTCAGGCTGTCGATGGCATACATGGAGTTGGTGTATATTGTCTATCTCTGCTGGCTCCCAATGGCCTTCCGAAAACTCCCTTAGGAGGCGTGCATTTGTCTGAAACCATTAGTCGATATTTGGAAGGGGTTCTGAGACCAAGTAATATTCTTATGTGTCCTCACCAATGTGTTACCAACTTACCAAAACCAAGAACAAGGCACAAAGACATTGGTATGTTCATGTTTCTTAGCCTTAAATTGTATATTTCCTACTTCGTTCATTTTTCAACAGAACTATTTCACTCAAAAGCAAAGGGGAATAGAGAACTTATGCTTCCCCATCTAATTCTGCCATCTAATAATACTATTATTCCAGGTGCTGCATCTTTACTGCAAGGTCAAGTAGTTACAGGTGTACGCTTGGCTGAAGCCAGTGGTCGAATTCTGCCACCAAGTAGCGATGGAGAGCTGGATAGCGACATTCCTGGAGCAAAAAAGAATACAAGGCGACAATCTGGAGGAGGCTCACAAACCAATACCCTAGAATCGAAACGAAGATCCCAATTTTTGGCAGAAATTTTAAAATGGCGTGCTGCCACTACACCGGACCACGTGCTGTTTTCACAAATCAATAGCAAGGTATCAGTGATCTGTCGCTCATTACCTACCATTAACTACTCAATCACATGTATAAAACAATTTTCTCATTTAATTCTAGGGTGGTGTTGGAATTCAACTTACCTGCTCTCAACTTCATAAAAAAGCTGAAAAAGTTGCTCAATTGCTTATGTCTTGTCCATCTTCTGCCGGTGTGCCATCACTGTCTACTGGTGATCATGTTGCCTTGATGTTCAATCCAGGAGTTGACCTGATTGCAGGATTTTATGGTTGTTTATATGCCGGATGTATACCTGTACCTATTAGACCAATCCATCCACGAGCTGTTGCTGCAACCTCACCTACAGTAAAGATGATTGTTAACGTGAGCAAAGCCGTAGCCATATTGACTTTCGCGCAAATGTCTCGGATGCTCAAGTCAAAAGAAGTACTTTCTGTGCTCGGAAGTCAAGATCAGTCATGGCCACCCATAATAGACTGTGAGGAAAATCCAAAAAAGAAGTTACCGGTGGCCTATCGTCCTCCCACACCTGAATTGCTGGCTTATCTTGATTTTAGTGTCTCTACAGCTGGAACATTGATGGGAATAAAGGTATTGAATTGTTTATCTATGTTATGTCAATAATAAAACATTGAAATCTATCTTTTGCTTTGAATACTGTTGAGATAAAATATGTTGTTGAATGATATCATAAATTGTCATAGTCTATAACTGATTTTACTATCTTTAATTATCGTCAATTCAGATATAAAGTGATTATTAAACTACAATAACTGAGAATTGGAAAAATAAATTATGATTATATATCTAATTATCTACTGTAGTTGTTTTACATAAAAATATAAAATTAAAAATATGTTGAATTTTGTAATTCGAAAAGCGTACACATGTTTATGTTCATATTCAACATCGTCAACATCTGATTTTGGCCAAATAAAACATTATAGAAAGGCGTTGAATTATTGCATGTTAAAACTAATAAGATATGGTATCAATTGACTTGAATTACTGGATGCAATGCAACAATGAAATATGATTTAATTTTTCAGATTTCTCACTTGACTGCAAGTCAGTTATGTCGAAGTATTAAACTACAATGCGAACTTTACCCTTCACGGTCTATCGCCCTTTGTCTAGATCCATATTCTGGACTAAGTTTTGCACTTTGGTGTCTTAATAGGTATGTACAGATCACTGAAAATATAAACAAAAAATTACCAGACAGCACATATTTATGATGTATGTCTATGTGATTTTGTTATTTATTACATTTTTCAGCATTTTTTCTGGCCATCACTCCATTTTGATTCCTCCAAGTGAAGTAGAGACGAATCCTCACTTATGGTTGCAAGTTGTTAGTCAATATAAAGTTCGTGATGTTTATCTTACATATTCTATCATGGATATTTGTACGAAAGATCTCGCCCAGCAAGTCCCATCATTAAAGGTATTTACACCTTATTTTATCTTTACAAATGCTTTTTTTTTTGGTGTTCTTACTTCTTACACTATGTCATTAAACATGGCCTATGAACAAGCTTCCATTGATATTTAGAAAACTTCTTGAGGTTCTTTTGACATAGTATTTATTACACTCTGTATCAATCTTGTCTGGCTGATTTTAATCCACCCTGTATAAAATATGCACGTCCAGGTAATGGCAGGTGCCAAAAATTTCCAGAAGTATATGTACCAATATGGAGGTAACTAATTTTGTTCGCTCATTTTACATCAAGTTGTGTAAAGGGACTGAAACCTATAATCAGGAGGATATTCACTTGACTAACACAGACAGTCCCCGAACTCGGAATAAAACTAAAATAAGGAAAATGAGAAAACTAAAATTATGGCCTAACCCTAACCTTGTACATATACTACCGGCGTATCAAAAATTTCAATATGAGCGAAGTTTGTTGCAGCTCTCGTATTTTCATCTCTATCAAGTACAAGCCTTCCTACTGTGTTCCTTGTTGAGAGCCTTTATAAAATGAAGGTGTGAGTGAGTGAGTACAAATACATGGATCAATCTAACATAATTTTTTTATGTTATTCAGTCGAGAGGAATTTCTCTTTCAAATGTTCGCACTTGTGTTATTGTTGCCGAAGAACGTCCCCGCATCAGACTTGTTTCAAATTTTTCTAAACTTTACAAAGATCTGGGTTTGTCTACAAGAGCCATCACAACATCATTTGGCTGCCGTGTCAATATTGCGATCTGTCTTCAGGTATTGTTTATTTGCTATATTCATGCTTATTCGTATGAATTGTTTTAAAATATTAGACAAAGAGTATGATGGTAAAAATGCTTTATCCCAAATGGCACAAATATAGAAAAAATATAAATCTCGAAATCTTCGAATATATCTGTAATTTAGCTTATAATTGAAAATTTTTGTCAAATGTTTTAGAAAGTTTGATGTTAATCTTAAGAATATTTGAATATTTCTGTTAGCCATTTTTATTCAGGCTATGTTTTCAGAGCATAAACAATCATTAACATAGAACGATAGGGTATGAGAAGTAGCCAGTTACATGTTAATCCAAACAATGCTGTAAATTTGCTCTTGTCTCGTTTTTTCATGTCATAATTCGCCTTAGAATCCTGATGCCGGCTGTAGCTCCTGGTCCATGGGTGTACCCGTGTAGTGTAATCAGACACTCTTATTTTATTCCTGTCAAATATGTAACATTTTGCAACTAATGTAGTAATTTTCTCATTCAATTTCTGGTTTACTCCATTATTTTTGTTGAAATTTATTTTATCTTGATTTTTTTTTGCTTACTAAGCCACCGAAACTGGGTATATTATCTGAACAAGTAATTTCCGATGAACCAAATATGGTAATGTTTGTTTGTGTTTCTGTTTGTCTGTTTGTCTCGCATGTCTGTCGTAAAAGTCATGAAATGAAGCACATTGCTAGTCATAAACTATGAATTAAGTACCGGTATGCCTAAGTCAGGCACCATCGGAACGTATATTCTGGATTATAACACTTGATTTGTTGTGTTATTTATCATTTAAAGATTTACAGCATTGTGAGCATGTGCATTCACTTTAGTTGGGGTTTGAATACTACACAATATACTCATTTGGTATGATTCAACACTCATTGCAGCATCAAATGACAGTGTCATTGCTTGAAAATTGTATGGTATCTTGCCATATTCAAATATGTAGTTTTCTCAAGTGGCCTAAGGTTGAATATATATATATATTATATCAGGAAAATTAGGAGTTTGTACTCAAAACAATCTTACAAATACAAGTAATGAATATGGGTAACTGTTTAAAAATTAGTTGAATTTCAAGACTTCTTAACATTAGAGATATAAAGAAAATTAATGAAGAATTTATTTTACAGAATATATTTGTAAATATTTTTTTGTGAGATTAACTTGTTTATTGATATTTTTACTATCAAATTTTGGTCGATTCAGATTTTGATTATTTAATAGGGAGCCTCCTGCCCTGATCCATCTACCGTCTATGTTGACACGAGGTCATTGAGAAATGACAGAGTTTCGTTGGTTGAGAAGGGATCACCTCACAGTCTGTGCCTGATGGAAGCTGGGAAGGTGAATAGTTGTTTCGAATTCATACTCAATCTATTGATATCTATTTTCAACAGATTCGCTGCATTTTTGAAAAATATCTCAATAAAATTCCAATTTTATTTATATATATGTGTGCAAAACGCATTTTTAATCAATAGAAATTTCTTCTGAATTGTCTTAACACCAGATTTTTCTTTTTCAATTATTCAGATATTACCTGGAACCAAAGTTGTCATTGCTGACTGTGACACAAGAGGGCAGTGTGGCGATTCTAGACTAGGAGAGGTTTGGGTTGCGAGTACTCACAGTTCAAACGGTTACTATGCAGTTTATGGGGGAGAAGCTGATGCGGATTATCGCGATCATTTTGAGGTATTCATGATTGTATATTTCCTGGTAATTAATATTCATGCACGTTCCAAAGTATCTTTGCTTCTTAAAATTGTACATATTGTGTTACACCAGACCCCACAGCCATATTCTGACTGAATTTGTTTTCAAATGTGAACTCTGAATTCAAAATTTTGTACTAATAGAACGAGTGTTAACTTACGTATCATTTCATGTGTGTGAATATGTGGATTTGACCTTGTATTATCTTTGTCAAGTTTCAATATGGAGATGACACTTCCTTTCTGGAATTTGAGGCAGTCATGTAGGCCTATCCATGATTTTATTGTCCATTTATATCGAAAATTAGAAGATTTATAAAAGTTTGAATTATTCTGTTTTCTGTTTTTATTTTTTTTCGATGCAATGACTACTTACCGTATTTATTACTATTTGATATTAATTGTGTACGTTACAGGTTCGATTAAAAACTGGCGACACCAGAACGACCTATTGCCGAACTGGTTATCTTGGATTTTTACGGAGAACAGAGTTGACTTCAGCAACTGGAGGTAAATGTTTTAATGCAGTGGTTCTCAAACTTTTTAAGCCGCACCCCCTTTTTAGAATTAGTCAAATCTCGCTCCCATCTCAAAAATAACTAGCTATAACAAAAAGCTATGAATAACAGATAGTAAGGCGAAATTATGTTTTATTCAAAAAACATGTTCAAAATACGCGGATAGAAAGTAAATATCCAAAACAAAGAAATGTAAATATTCAAAATAAGACGGACAAGATCAGATCTTAACATTTTATTTTCAATTAGCTTCACACCACCCTCAAAAAATTGTTTACGTACCCATTGTGGGGCGCGCTCCACCATTTATGAACCACTGTTTTGAAGGATCTACTATTATTATCTAGTTCTGAGATCGCCAGGACCTACTTCTGAAAAGTTACCAGTTATAGGCACTAATGGGATATGTGAGAGTTTTACGAATTATTGTTCATGTTGTTTATTTCGGGACATCAAACCAATTTGAATTGTTGAGTATGCTTTTTAAAAATAATTTATTTTCATCAAGCCTGATCTTTTCTGCCATGACTTGCAACCATAAGCACCTCTTTTTTTAATTATCAAGTTTTATAATATTCTTAGAACGACACGATGCACTTTATGTTGTTGGTCCATTAGAGGAAACATTGGAAATTCGAGGAATGAGATATCATCCTATCGATATAGAAAATTCTGTGGTTCGATGCAGTAATAGAATAGTCGAATGGTAAGTTAGAAATTTTGTTGATCTATCTGTGTATTTCCAGTACTCCTGTAGTGTGTGTACCAGGTTAGGGTTAGGCCATAGTTTTATTCCAATTTTCCTTATTTTAGTCCTATTACGAGTTCGGGGACTGTCTGTGTTAGCCAAGTGAATGTACTGTACTCCCTGCCCATCGGTTCCAGTTCATTTACACAACTTGGTCTAAAATAGGCAAACAAAATTAGTTACCTCCATATTGGTACACACACTTCTGGAGCGCCGTATTTTCTGGTAAACTTGTGCTTTTGTGACCAATCTATATCTTGCTCACTTCTTTTCAGTGCTGTCTTTTATTCCAACAATCTGCTTGTTGTTGCTGTTGAATTAGATGGAAATGAGAATACTGCATTGGATCTTGTACCTTTGGTAAATATTGTCCTTCTTCATTATAAATACTGAAATTTTGAAACAACGTCGGACAATTTGAAAACATCGCCAGTTACAGCTTGCAGCAATATACCCAAGATTTTAGACCCAGCTGTGTGGTCTATGATAGGCTTGAAAACCATAATAATATGTTTTTTGAATATGACGTATTTCAAAAGAAAATTTGGGGTTTAACATCAAGTTGTACTTCAAGAATTGACTACCCAGTTAACTCCTAATAATGACTATATATGATTTTACATTGAGTTCATGTATCAGGAAAATAAATGAATAAGCCAAATCAAAAAAGCATGTGTCGTTGACCAACAGTGTCATTGTGCTACACATCTAAAGGCAATATGAACGTAAATTGTTTTCTAAATTTTTCTTTCAGGTCACGAACATAATACTCGAAGAGCAATATTTAATAGCTGGAGTTGTTGCTGTGTTGGATCCAGGTTCAATCCCAGTAAACTCTCGAGGAGAGAAGCAACGCATGCATTTGAGAGACAGTTTTCTTCAAGATAAACTTGACCCAATATATGTAGCATATAACATGTAATCTCATCATAGCAGGTTTTGTTGGCACAATATCTAAATACCCCTTATCACCATGGTCAAAATTTTGGTTGTCAACTTTTTCTGTGTTCCTTTTATGAAACTCAATTGTGAAAAGGATTTCGATGAATTAGTGGCTGAAATTTACTTATTTTTGATTCTTCAAAATGAACTCTTTGTCTTTAAATTTTAAGATATTTTTATTCTCGCTTGTTAAAGCCATTCATCCATGACATGACGATACAAAAACAATATGATTTTACAATCTGACCATTCGTTTGGATGAATGTTGTCAAGCACTTTGTTATACTGAATATATTTGAGATATCATTATGACAGGACGATCATCACATTTATTCACTTTGTAGTCCATACACTTATATGTATACTATGTCACCCCATCAGAGCACCTGGTTTATTCATGTTGCATACTCACAATCCATAGTTGCCTAAAAAACTATACTTTTTATTATTTTAATGCAGTATTTTCTTTATACTTTTTGCTTTTAATCTTTGAAAACTGAAAAATCATTTTTTCATGGTCTAAATTATGATACGTAGGTATCATAATTGATTAAATATATGGTATGAATATGGTACAAGCTGTTAGTTGGAATTAACCCAACGTTTTTATCCCAGTTTCCCATTTACTTTGCATATGATCTTGTGAACAGCTTTGATTAAAAACATTAACTTTTATAACTGATGTCATGGCTTTATAGCTTCAGCATATTTATTTTGGTATATCTGAATTCATTTTTATGGTTTCTGTAATCAGTATATGGTACACAAATATATATCAATTTTTAAGGAGGTGGTTTTTAAATGATATAGCACTTAATGTATAATACAGATTGTTTGAAAATGGTTAGCAATGCTCAAACAATGAAAAATTGGTACCAAAATTATATATTCATTTTCCCATTTGGCAGTTGTAATAAAATACTCTTACTAATAGACACGATACAAGTTTACTTTTTGTTTTTCCTTTTTTCCCATCCATTTCCTGTCTGGTTTATTATAATGGACACCACGTGTCTGAGAGCCATGTCATTTGTATGTTGGAGCAAGCAAGCAGATAATGTCTTTTTTTACTTTTTGGGTTTGGTATCAATTTACATGAGTACTTAAATGACTCTGAGCTATTTCAGTCGATTTTTCAGAATTATAGGTAATGGCGATAGCAACATTATATTGGTAAATTCTATCTGACATTCTGTCAACTATGATTTACACCTGCTAAGAGTGGTTTTATTAAAATCAGTGATCAATTGCACTACCTTTACCACACTATTTTGTATATGTGTTCGTCGTTTTTATCAGCAGTTTCCACATCTTAACTCTGAACAAGAATTTGAACCCTGAGAATATTGTTTTGCACCATAGTACGGGCAGGCCACCATAGATATGAGGAATATTTTGTTTTGGCCACGCATGATTTTATACCAGATGAAGCAGTGTGTTTATATGTTCTGCCATTTTTTTCATTTCGATTTCAATTTATTCATTTTTATTGTCATCTGCTTTTATTCAGTCATTGTTTTTTGTCGAGAGTCAGCAATTCATGCTAAATAGCTCAAATCTTCCATCTCCCTATTTTGCAGCTGCATATATATTGGATATCTTTTTCTATCAATAGCGTATGATATGTATGGAACTCGAAATCCTATGTGCCATATCTTTCGTTTATAACAAATTGTGACACACCATATGATGACTTTCTAAAGTCAGTAGTTTTATTCTGCCATCTTGAACTTCTAGCAGTTGTAAGAATTCGACCAATTAATTTATTCGTGTTGAGCATAAGGTACAGATAATAGCTCAGAGCTACTTTTCATTCAGTCATTATTTCAATTTCATTCTGTGTTACCAATTTACTGAAATTGCAGACAAAGAGTTGTCTGATAATTATGTTGAATTGTCATTATTTCTAAGAGTGTCTTTATTGAGCAATAACTATTTTTTTTAAGTTGTTTCCAAGTAGGTCGATTGTAATTTGAAATTATTTGAGATTTTGCTAGCATGCAAAAATGTCAGTAAAATACATCATTCAAGTCTATGACCACGTTTTGGGTGATTATTGTACTTTGTTGTACTGGTAATTAAACTCATCTTGTGTAATGATGACCCAGGACCTTGTTAGGTTTTAACTAGTGAATTCCTTGTAATAACTCTTTGAATTTTTTTCTCATGCTGCTTTGCATTATTTTTTCACATTGTAATTTATGTTCATGTCCATTACCAGTGTTATCATTTGAGATAATACTTTTGAATATTATGATTAATCTGTTTTCTCGCAAATAAAAGTTGCCATTATTATGAAGTGGGCCGTTTTGTGGAAAATGGGTAAGGAGGGCTTTTTGGTTCAGAACCAGGGGTACATATTCGAGACGTTCTTCGATTTATATTCGAGTATATCCAGGCCATAAAATATCCATGACTAAATTCCTTTGACTGGAACTAATACAGCCTACAAAAAACGGTACTCTCGTAGTATGTGTACTAGGCTAGGGTTAAGGCACAATTTTATTTCGAATTTTCTTAATTTAGGTTTATTACGAGTTCGGGGACTATCTGTGTTAGCCGAGTGAATATACCCCCTGACCATAAGTTTCAGTCCCTTTACACAACTTGATGTAAAATAGGCCAACAAAATTAGTTACCTCCATATTAGTACACATACTTCTAGCTAGAGAGCTCAAAAAACAAAGATCTGGTATAGGTTCGGCTATCATTTCTTGCTGTGTGGGCGCAAGAAAGTTGCTGTATTCAGAAGCTAAATTTTTCCTGATGGTTATTTTATTTTCAAGAGTTAAGATAAATGTGTTGTGATATGACATACTCGGCACCAATATAATTCTTCTGGAGTCGTTCAATATTTCAATGGATATGATACATGTTATGTTTGCTGTCGTGAAACTTTTCCGTTGCTAATTGTTCACTCAAACTCGAAGTAGACAAATTTCTCTGTAAGAAAAACGATTGGTATAAATAGAAGTTTGACACCATTGCAATATATACGGTTTTTATACTTGTCAAGGCTGTGTGGCTTCGATTATCTAATAAAGCCATCCCCACAGAACGAGCTGCAAATGCATTTATGGACATTGTCGCGATTTATATTTTCATTGCTCCTTTTGTCTCAAAAAAACACAGTACAACTGGGAATTTTTCGATGTATCGCACATGTAGCCTATAGAATGTCATGGGCCGGGAACCTATTCTCCGCTAACTCCATTCACGTACCGGTAGGCTATTTATATTTTTCGTATCACTGAATGCTATTTAAAAAATCAACGATTAGAGATGTTACTGTATATTTAACATTTCGTTTATTCTTCTTTACCGAACCTTAATATATGTCGCCGACGGTAAATGCAATTGTCGACTAGATCCAAGTCCAATTCACAATGTATACTGCGAAGTTCATAAAATTACACATACAAAATAGGACAGATATCAAGCTTTATCTGTGTCTTGATAAAGACATGATTTTCATCGTTGATCGAATATGCATCGAATAAGCTTCATGGACGAGTCAGATTCGGGTGTTATTCATGTAACTAAGTAAACCGATGCGGGATAAACACTAGTTCACTCTATCCACCAATCGTACTATTTTCCTCTTTTATTAATTGTGGGACTCCTAATGTTCACAAAAAAGTATCTCTGTGCTGTTCTCTAATCAAAAAGGGACTCGCGTGATATGATAAACACCAGAAAAAGAACTGCGCTTTGAAGATATAGCAAAGTTGATTTTGGTAGAAAGTAGTGACAAGAAAATTCAGCAGGTGTCTTTGTTGCGTGTGGACTTTTGCATTAACCTGTTTCTAATTCCAAGTTACAATTTATTGCAGTTTTTCGCAATGTATACGGATCCGTGAAAATATTGGAAAAGCAAAAGGGGTCCGCAAACAAACAAAAAAAAAGAAGATTGTGAAACCTTATCAGGGGCCACTATTTTCAACATATATATTTATATATCAATGATCCTTTCACCAAATGAACCAAATTCGCTCCCCCAACCTCCAATTCTGAGCTGTCTACGCTCTTGGACAGGACTTTTGTCATTTTTAAGGTAAAATTGTAAAGGTGTAGCCTACCACGGATGAAAAAGAGGTTTAAGAGCCCCAGATTACCTGTTTATAATTGGCAGTTTTATTTATGGAATCTAATAAAATGCATATTGTTGAACGAAGCCTTCGACGTTCTGGCTTACACGTTCCCGGGCACATTCGCACTAGAATATAAGGGCTGGCTTAGGTCTGCAGAAGTTGCCTTCTACATTTAAGCTAATGAAATCATTCTTGTGAAATGAACAACTGCTGAACAATACCTTCATTTTCTTCTCTTTTGTCCGCCAAGCTTCTTTTCTTTTTCCCTGATGGCCATTGTCCGCCGCCACCCGTATATCTAAACATTAAAAGTTCGTTCGTTTCATGGGTGTAAGTTGGCATCAATATGATTTACGTTTTTCGTGTTTGGCAATCGGTTTATAATTATCGTGTGGCCTATATATGAAGGGAATGCATTTAAAGTGCGAAGTCAAAATCGTTACAATCGAATATGTCCATTAAGATGATATTTCTTACTACTAGAAAATTAACAAATATTAGTTAAATTAAGTTTACAATTCCTTACGTTGATTGTTTTGTCTCTATGCCACTCTTTCCACCCACACATGATGTAATTAACAGACATGTGCACAATGCACATATAAGATAGACTTTGGCCGGAGTCATCGTATCAACGAGTACAAGTAACTTAGTATAATAACTTAGTAAGACTTGTATAATAGCTATATTCTTTATTACGAAAATACAAAAATCATTTTGAGGAAACTGATAATTGTACTATATTCAATTCCTACGAACTCTACGACAATGATGTTCTTTTTAGAATTCATTCACGACTAAATTTTAAATACACTTCATTCATTTAACTCCCCATCTGTATCCTAAATATGCATTGTTTTTTACGCCGATCCTGTATTATTCATGTCAAATATACGTCTGTTACTAAATGTATACTTATAATATACTAGAATACTCAAAACAGATACAAAGCACTGGAACATTGATGAATTGACGGTGTGGCGGTATGACTCAATGATACTCCTGTAGTATGTGTACCAGGTTAGGGTTAGGGCATAATTTTATTCCGATTTTCCTTATTTTAGTTCTATTACGAGTTCGGGGACTGTCTGTGTTAGCCAAGTGAATATACCCATAGGTTTCATCCCTTTACACAACTTGATGTAGAGTGCGCAAACAAAATTAGTTACCTCCATATTGGTACACATACTTCTGGAGTGCCGACTTAATATTTTGACATAGTAGAATTTTTTACTGCACCCCACCAGAGAACCTTGACACACACATATATATATATGTAGTCAGAAGACGATAATTACAGTGAGCACAAAAATTAAAAATAATCAAAATGATAACAAAAATTGGTTTTTGATACAGTGAAATTTTTGCCATTTAATATACGTTGTTAGATAGTATCTTTCTAAAAGTGAGAAAATTGGGTTGTTTTCAAAAAATGTTTGCGGGCCATGAATAATGACTTGAATCAAATATTCTGATGCAAACAGTGTAACCTCAAAAGTTTTGATGTATCAACTATACAGTTTTCGCAGTGAGAGTTCACCTATACTATATTTTTTGAGATAAAATTTAGTTAAATAGTTAACCAGTAAATTGGATGATAAGGGCGTGAAATTACCTTTCGTCGATAAAAATATCACCACAGCAATTTTTGCAAAAATTCGAACAATGTAATGCAGTCATATGTTTAAATTTTATCCATAACCAGGTTTCAGCAAATTTCTATTATGAATTGTAACTTGGAAATGTTAAACTGAATTACTATCTCCCATCAAGGGATTAAAATTTTGAATAATTCTCCGTGAAATTGGCTCGCGCTGTTTTGATGTTAACTGCAAAACATTTGATGTTAAAAAATAAATTGTGGCAATTCAAACGGATAATATGAAAATATGGCGTTTTGATTTTTGTAGTTGTTAAAGCATTATCTATTATTTATAGTGGTGCATGCATTATTCAAATGAACTGAGGAGAATTCCTATTCATTTAAATGTATGTCATTAAATGTAGCTCAAATATGAGATGAATTATTAATAAAAATACAGTTTACGTCATTCCAATTGTTATTAATTGTAAAGTAGTAATAGACTTGCACGATAGTAATTTAGGAATCTATGAGATGTTGCAGCAACAGACGTTGCTAAATTTATAATTTTGCCGTGAGTAGCATCCACGAATGTTAAATTGTTGTTAGAGTGATGTAGTATCACGGAGCTAACTAGAGATCTAAAAGTGTGGTTGTCCTGCTGAGTATTGCGGTTAAAGGTATTTATCATTGGCCCTAACGAAAAGTTTGAAGAGCGTAATGACAACATAGATAGATAGATAGTTTATTTCGAAAACTCCATAACAAACATAAATTAAAAACATCACTGTTCATACATTCACTTCATTTTTGTTGACGCAATTCTATGAAAATTCTTTCGTTGATAGTACACTAATTCTATTGTCCTTTAATTAAGCCGAGCAATAATCGGGAAATAAAAATGCTAGAACAATGTGATAATATTGAACTGTAGTTCAATAGAAATATTCTAAAATACTGCAGTTTATAAACTTATAGCCCAGCCTTTAACTAATAATGAAAAATAAAAAACACTATTGTCAGCAATCATCCAAACATTTAAATCATGCTTTGAATATATCTCCAAACTCATCGATTCGGAGGGCACAATAAAATAAAAATGATTAACACTACTAAGACGACTTGGCCATCTAACTGACACGCGAAACAGGTCACTTCACTTGATTGAATCGTTCATGACCGCTGCAGCCAGCGCAAGCATTTTTTTATTATTTTATTATACAGCGCTGAATTGTTAAACCCGAAATTGATGCATGTTTAGAATAAAAGTAAATAAAGTATTTAGGATAGATAGATATATTTTATTTTGATTCATTTGCAAAAAATAAAACAATACACAAAACAGAGTCAGAGAAAGGAGAAGAATCTGGGAAGTGGACAAACCCTAAAAATAAGTTCATAACATATTAAACGCGTTCACCCACCGAAGAAGTAAGAAAACAAATTGCAACATAAACATAAACGGTTGTTCATTATTCTGGCGTCTAACTTCATAATCAAATTACATGCAATTACTTACAAACAAAATAGTGAACTGAATAGCGGCTGTGCTTAAGAACATTGTACTTATCTTGCTGTTAGTTTTCGGGTCTAATGCAAGATGGTTTTCCTAATAAGGATATTCCAAATAGAAACAAGCTTTAAACAATATCGTTCAGTGATCAATTGGTTATTTTTTGACTCAGGCATTGTTGAACTGTTTGATATCGAGTAAAGAAGTTCAATCTGGATGATTCCAACTTAGGCTTGCACGTAATTGACAAAAATCAATTCCGTAATTACGGCCAAATCGATTACGTAATGACCCCGTAATTGCGATATTTTTTTCACACATTTAAACCTATCATAACAATCAATTTAATCCACTTCTATTCCGAATGGGACATCGAAGTTTGGTTTTCATATTCCCGGCAGTGCTACACGCCGGCGACAGATGTTAAAGACAGATATCAAGGAGTGAATTCAAAATAATTTTATTCTGATTTTTATCTTTTGTATTAGCTTTGATTTTTTTAACCACTTTATCACCAAATTTCATGCGATCAATTTTATCATTACAACACTGGTAATATATTTAAGAAACGATAGTTCACTTTTTTAAAATCGTATTAACGAATTAATTCCGGGTTGCTAATTTATTAATCAACTACAAGCGTATTCTCTCGTTTGATTATACTTTCGCTTGCCTCGCGACGAAGACTTGTTATTTCACCGTTTTTTACAATATCCGACTTTACTACTTAGTTAGCATTTTATAATAAATATTGATGCCGACTTATTGACGATATTCCGAATTCCATGCTTCATTTTACATTAAATCATTTCGCGGCCTAAAAGTTATAACATTATTTGCGATAAATTTAGATCAAATATTAATTATTTGCGCATTATTTAAAATACCGTACTTATATGACATGCCTTCTCCGAAAATACTAAGTTATGTCGCAAAACAATGCATTTTGTGACATTTATTTTGCACTCATGAAAATATTAATTTATTTTTTTAACTCAAGTCGACAATCCTATTTGCCAAGATTGACACAAATTTGGTCGAGTGCCGGTGGTATTCGAGTCGACAATAAATCAAAATAAGTTGCCGCGTTTGGTAAAGATAGGTAATCATATTTGGCCGACATATTGCGAGGCATTGTGAAAAACATATTGAGCAATGCCAAGTCCGGACAGATATATAACGATAAAATCGGTAACAGAACATCAAGATTTTGTGATAGAAAATGGATCTCGCGCAGAATAAACACGGGAAATCCCGTCGTATTGTTGTTTCTCTGCCGTCTCAATCGATTTACCGATGCCGAAAAGACTAAGTTGCGTTGGTTCATTACGCAATTTCTCTTCCGTCTTTATATTGCTGTTTGATAAGCGCGACATTAATTATCACGGCATTTACAAATAGACCATGTTTTATAAGTTGATCTCTTACATTCTTTAGTCATTTCACCCGAAGAAGTTGAAACCAAGGGTGTGTTGACGTCCATCGGTCTCAACACAATTCTATTCCTTATCTACGGTTAATATGTACATTGGCCATCCTATTTAAGTTGATAATAGGTTAGTAAATGACGCGTTATGCCTTCCCCATCTACCTAATAAGAGAGAGAGAGAAACGGCTGCGAATACCGGAACTCTAACTTCTTTTACTTAAACTTTAATATTTTACAATCGACGGAATTGACTGCTCTGAAGAGAGCTCGTTTCAATCGCAAAAGCGCTCGACCAATAATTACGACTTTACGTAATTCGTAACTTCGCTTCCGTAACTCGAAATAATTCCGTAAATCCGTAAATTACGTGCAAGCCTATTCCAACTTCGGGAAAGTAGAATCGCATTATAAAAATCGCGAAATATTTGTAAAAAATACCGAGGAAATACGCCAGAAAAATTTGTCATGTGTCTTCAAAATCAATCTTTAACTACTGAAAATTTCAAAGCAATTGGACCAGTATTCGAAGAGAAAGGCGATTACATCATGACGAAGGAGAAGAAAAACAAGAACAACAACATAATATTGAAACGATCGTTATGTAATCTACGCAAGAATCGGCATGCATGTAACAAGGCCGTCAAAGATTGGTAACCGCCGATTTTCTGTATTTTTTAAACCATAAATATACAAATTGGCAAAGACAAAACATTTCATTTATATAGCGTTAACGAATAATTTTTATTTGTATTGTTTAGAATAATTAAATGATATTATCTTATCAACGCCGATCAGTCAGGTCTTAAATTAATTTGATACAAAGAAAGCAAATTAACGAGAGCAAACCAACTACGATTACTCGTACGTTCTATCGTCTATATCAGGGGTTCTCAAACTTTTGGTGTTGCGGAGCCCGTGAAGAAGTTGACTCCTATTCACGGAGCCCCACAAATAAATTTCTTAAATAAAACAAACAAACAAAAACACACTGTTACGTACCGATTAATGTTTCTGAGTAAGTTAAAACTACTTTACTTAATTCAAATGCTAAACCTTTTTACTGAGGGTTAATACAAGCCATAAATAAATCTAAATTTTACAGATAAATTATACATATTAACGTTGTAATTTGACATTTGAAA